CCATGGGATGCCCGGCAGCCCCCAGCGGTGCTGCGTGATGCCTGGCACCCATCCGTACCCCCTACAAGAGGAGGGGTGGGAGCTGTACCCCGCTTCCCCCAAAGTAGGGGGGGCTGGCACCCGGATCCGGGCAGCGGGAGCCGAGAGGAGCCACTGTCCCAACCTGGATGCTGCAGAGAGGGGCTGGGGGGCCAGCAGCATCCTTTGGGCACAGGCACTTTATTTTTTGAAGCCCCCAGCTGGCACAGGAGGTGGAGGCCGAGTCTTGGATGGGGCAGAAATGGGGAAGAAAGTTGCTTTGAAGCAAATCTTTCACCGACATGATTTCCCGTGGGCTTAGAAAACACCCGGGGCTGGTTGGGCTGAGCGTGGAAAGGCAAGGAAGGGAGAAAAATAATCCTGCATCATGCTGGCCCTGGCCCCTCCCCGGCGCTGCGCCCTCCAAACGAGCTCTTATTAGTTTGCTTGTTGTTGTTTGCCAGATCAATGGTCCATGGAGGAGTGATCGATGGAGACCCAGCCGGCTAATAGTGCCGCACGCTTGGACGCTTAGTGCCGTGCTGGGCTCCTTGGGGAGCCCCAAATCCCGTCCCTCGCCGGCAAGGTGCTCCTCGCCCCGGGGGACCCATCCGGACCCCTCCAAGGGTGCTGGCAAGGTGGGGGATGCTCCCGGGATGGGTCCTGAGCTCTGCCCCGAGGACCCTAAAACTGAACAGAGGCTGCGCCTGCATCTCGCCATCCCTGGGAACACTTGGGAACACCACGCGTGGCCACCTCCCTTCGTTTGGGCTGTGTGCCGGGTGGTGGGGAAGGGAGGGCAGGAGCTCGGTCTCCGATCGATCGATTAATTAATTAATGGAGCGTGTCGTAGGTGAGGCGGCAGAGCTGTTTGAAGGAGGGGGGGGTGGAAGATGTGCCACGGCTCGGCAGGAGATCCCCAGCAGAGGTGGTCCCCGCTGCCTGTCCCCTGCCCGCTGGCTCTCGAGGGGGTGTCGGGGTGCGTGGGGGGGGGATGATGGGCACACGCTTGCCCCCGGCCTCCTGCCCTCCCTCCTGCCCGCGCAGGCAGCCGCCGGGGCCCTGCCTGCTGCATTCAGGCAGCGCGAGGGGGGACTTGACAATGCGAGGCCATTAGCATTGAAAATCCATGCAAAGCAGCTGTTCCCGCTCGGAGCGTGCAGCTGGATGCGGTTCCGGAGCGGGAGCCGAGGGCGCCGAGAGAGAGAGGGAGGAAAAGGCTTGGGGACCTCGTGCCATAGAGCGTCACCCCAAATTCCATTGGGGACCCATCCAGAGCCAGCGTGGAGGAGCCGAGGTCCTGCGCGGTGGGTGCGGATCCGTCCCGGGGGAGGATGCAGGATGCTCATCTCTCCCCGCTCCCTCGGCCTCCCGCCGTGCTGGGTTTTTTTCCGCTCCATTTGCCAGGGGCTGGAGCTGCTGCCTGATCGTATTTGGTAATAAATTATTAGTTCCAGCGCTCGGGAGCCCGGGAGCTCAAAATAGCTGCTTTTAAAGCAGGCGGCTGGTGCAGGTTGAGTTCAATGGCAATCTGCTCTGAAGGGCACTTCATGCTCATTAGGGGCCTTTCAAGGTGCTGGGGAGAAGCGGGGGGGGGGCCCGAAACCAAGGTGCTAAACCTGCCCGCATCGCATTTCCCGGCAGCTGCCTGCGGCGGGGACGGGGAAGCAGCGGAGGGCAGCCGGCAGCAGTACCGAGTCCCCCTGCCCGCACCAATCCGGGGAGGATCTCAGGGTTTTGGGGTGCTGGGAGCCCCGTTCCTGCCCTGGCACTGCCCGCTCCTGCCTGCCCGCGGCGGCTGCCGGCGTGTTTATTTGTCTCCAGCCCCACCAGGCAGCCAGACTGGTTCTGCTCTCGCTGCCGGAGGAGGCTCCCGCTGCCAAAAAACCCGCCAGCGTCATCAGGAGCAGATGGAGAGAAGATGGCACGCTCCCAGCTCCCAGCTCCCAGCCCTGCGCAAGGGGATGCGGGGGGCCGGGGTTGGAGGGGGGGGGGGGAACACAAGGGACCAGGCAGGGACACCCCCCTGTCCCCACCGGGAGCCGAGGGCTTGGGGGTCCTGCACCGTCAGGGATGCCAACGCCGCGGCTGGTGCCACGCGTGGCACCGCAGGAAGGGGTGCCAGGATGCGGGGGTGGCACGGGGAAGGGTGAGGGGGTCACGGCGATGGCCTTGCCGTCCCTTCCTCCTCCTCCTCCTCCTCCTCCTCGTCCCACCAGGCAGGGACCTGCCTGCTCCTGTGGGCAGGCAGCCAGCAGGCACCGGGAACGCCAGACACTCCCTGCGCCGCTGTGCCCGCGCAGATGCCGCGGGAGGGACGCGGACAAGGGTGGCACGTCGCCCGGTCCCCAACCTCCTCCGTGGCCTCAGCAGGGGACCCAGGAGACCCCCCCACACACCCCAGCCTTGATTTGGCAAGGGGGGGGTGTGCAGGAGTGAAGGCAGCAAGCGGTGCCCGAGGGCAGGTACGTGGGGGGGCTGCCAGCTCCTCTCCCTGCACACCCCCATAGGAGTGGGGGCAACGGAGGGGCAGCCTGCCCCGTTTCGGGGTTCGGCTCCCCACCCCGGTGAGGCAACCGCTGGCGTGACCCCAGGGCCGCTGCCGAGCTCTGAATTTGACCTGTTTTTCCACACGGATCTGCCTGCTGGGAAAAGCAGCCGGGGAGGGGTGGGAGGAGGGCGAGAGCCGGTTGGGGGGAGACCCCACCTTGCCGTGGGGTGGCATGGCATCCCCAGCCACCACCGGGACACCGGCACCCGCAGAGGTGAGCGGTACCCACGCCGCGCCGGTGACGGGATGCCGGAGGGACCGCGGGCGCCATCCCCACACGGATGCTCTCGGCCGCCGCGGCGTGCCTCAGTTTCCCCAGCTGGCAATTCTCCCGCGGAGCAACCCAGGGATGCCCGGACAGACGGACGCCACCTCCGTCGGGGCAAGGCGGGTGAGCGGCGCTGCTCGGGCCCCAGCCGGGGCGGAGGCGCCGATTTTATCACCGGGCAGGAGCGGCAAAACTGGTTTGGAGCGCAGCTGGGGCAGCGGCACAAGCTCGAGTTAGCGAGCCAGCGCCGAGGAGGGGGTTGGGGGAAACGTGAGCTCTCCGCACGCTTTCCCGGCGAGCTGCTGGCTCGGAGCTGCCCCGCGCTCGCCCGGCAAATCCCAGTGGGATCATGAGTTTGTTGGGAGGCGTTTGGGGCCGTGGAGATCAGCTGAGCATCACACGGGTGATGCTCCGTCGCCAGCCCCCGTGCCCTGGCGAGCGTGCGTGAGTGTGCTAATCCTCGCCGGCTGGTTAGGAAAGCGTTTCCAACCTTGGATTGGGGCTGGGGGGGGGCGGGTTATGCCGGGGTTAATAGCTGGGGAGAAGCTGGGGGGGCACGGGGAGGTGCAGGGCTGTTTTTGGGGGGTGCAGGGCTGTGCTAAGGGGATGCCAAGGCAGCGCCTGGGGGATGAAGGGCTGTGCCCAAGGGATGCAGGGTTGTGCCTGAGGGATGCAGGGTTGTGCCTGAGGGATGCAGGGTTGTGCCGGGGGGATGTGGGGCAGTGCCTGGGGGGCACAGGGCTGTGCCCAGGGGATACCACTGGGATGCTGCAGCCCCCTGGGATAGCGCCTGGATGCATGGTGCTGCAGGCAGAGCCCGGTACCCTGCTCTCCGGGGGGGGGTACCCAGGCACTTATCCGGGGGGGTCCGCGGGCCGGTGCAAAGCCCGGGGGTGCCCAGGCCAGGCTGGCGCGACGGGTTGGCTTCCCAGCTGTTCTGGTAATGAATTTACATGAGCCGAGTGTGTCGACAAGGCGGCAGTCAATGGCTGAGAGCACCGGAGTTAATAAATGCTTGTATAATGAGGGCAGAGGGGAGCGCGCGCCGCCGCGCCGGCCGCCTCTCCTGGGGCCGGGGGGCAAAGATTAATCAACGCTGAGTGGCACTCGCGGCCCCCCCGCCCCGGCTCCCACGACGCCCGCCGCTTTGCCCAGGCACCCTCTGCCGCGGGATGTTCCGGAGGTCTCCGGCATCGCCGGTGCCTCGAGCTGCCATCAGTCCTGCTGGGAGCTGGGGGGGGCTGCCCCTTGGCCCCCCCACCGCCCGCCTGCCCACCTGGGAGTGGGGCTAATTTTAGGCTGGTGTTAATGAAGCTGCTCATTTGGAAGTCTATTTTAAGGGCCCTGACATCAGCAGTTGCTGTTTTGGGAGATGGAGAGCCCTGGAGTGGCCGGCTGTGATAGCTGGGGGGGGGCACAGGGTGGGCTGCACCCTGCCACTCACAGCACCCGAACCCCCACCCTTAGGGGCTACTGTGCCCTATAGAACCTCTGTGCTTTCGGGTGCAACGATGGGGACTCGGGGGTGCCGTGGTGCAGATTTGAAGGTGCGGTGGGGGGGATTTGGGGGTGCAGTGGTGAGGATTTGAAAGTGCAGGGGAGGGGGATTTGGGGGTGCAGTGGTGGGCACCCAGGGATGCAATACTGGGGATCTGAGGGTGCAGTGGTGGGGATTTTGGGGGTGCAATGGTGGCGATTAGGGGTGCAGCGGTGGTGCTTTGGGTTTTGGCAGCACCACGTGAGTCAGGGGGCTGCGCCCTTCCCCATCACCTCCATCAGGACACTGAAGTCCCCGTAACCCCCCCAAAACACCCTCTCCCTTCCCAGGGGGCTCTGCTGAGCCCCTCCACACCGTTATCTGGGAGCGGTCCGGTCTGCGGGATTGCTGGGGCCATGGGACAGCTGCTGGCCCCTGCGTCGCCTTATTTTCCGTGGGCGAGCTCGCTTTTTTAGATAAGCTGCCATGCCATAAGCGTGCGGGGCTCGCGCCCGCCCGCTCACTTCCCCCCCCCCCATGGCATGAACTCAGGATGTATTTTGGTGTGGGGTGGTGAACCAGAAGGAAGGTCTTGCTTGTCCTGCCGGTTGTTCCCTGCTCCCGTGGGGATTTGGGGATCCTCTCTCCCCGCGTCCCCGTCTAACGTGGGCTGCTCTTGTTCGCAGGCATGAGCCATGAGCCGAAGTCGCCGTCCCTAGGAATGCTCTCCACCGCCACCCGCACCACTGCCACCGTCAGCCCCCTCACCCCCTCGCCGCTCAACGGCTCCATCGTCCCCAATGGCAGCCCGGCAGCCAGCAGCACTTTGTCCGTCCAGGCAGCACCTTCCTCCAGCTTCGCCGCTGCTCTCCGCAAGCTCGCCAAGCAAGCCGAGGAGCCCAGAGGTAGGGGACGATGGTGGGGACGGGGTCCGGGGGGATGCTGAGCATCAGCGCCCTTCCCCGCCGCCACCACCCAGGAGCCGGCGGACAGCGTTTTCTTGCCATTTCCCGAGCTAATGTCTTTCCCTGGCGTTGCGTCTCAAGAGGGCAGTTCAGAAATTCAATTCAGCCGGAGTAATCCAAATGCTGTATCACTTGCCGTACCCTGGGAGAAAGCCTGGGAGAGCGCAGTGCGGGGGGACCTGTCCCTCCCTGCCCCCCCAGCCCTGCTCCCTCCCACCATACTTCACCAAAATGCCATTTTTTCCAGAGGCTCCTCAAATCTGTTCCTTCCCCAGCCAAACTGCCCGGCTAAACAGCAAATTTGAGTGCCCCCAGGGAGGTCCCTGTCCCTTGTCACCCTGTGATGGCCTGGCTGCCACATCCTCCATCGCACCCCCTGTCTCTGCTCGGGCGCGGGGTGCAGCTCGCCATGGGGGGTGTGAGCTGCTGTCGCGGTGCCGGAGCACCCTGAGGTCCCTGCCGCTGCGGGAACTGTGTGCTGCAGGAATTGCCAGGGGTGTTACCGCATGTGCAGGGGGAGGCAGCTTGTCCCCGGACTGTGAAGCGTTTCACCAGGAGACTGCAGGCGTCATCGATTTGCAACGAAATAGTATTTATCCCTGGTGTTTCCATTGGTGGGTGTTCCCTGTTGGGTTATTGCCCACCGCCTGGGCACTTTGGTCCCTGGGGAGGATGCCCGACCCTTTGCAAGATGTTTTTTTGCAAGGCCCTGTTTGCAAGGTCTTTTTGGAAGGCCCTTTTTGGAAGATCCTTTTTGGAAGATCCTTTTTGGAAGGCCCTTTTTGGAAGATCCTTTTTGGAAGGCCCTTTTTGGAAGATCCTTTTTGGAAGGTCCTTTTTGGAAGGCCCTTTTTGGAAGATCCTTTTTGGAAGATCCTTTTTGGAAGGCCCTTTTTGGAAGATCCTTTTAGCAAAGACCCCTTTGGCAAGGCTCTTTTTGGAAGACCTTTTTTGCAAGCGCCATCTGCAAGACCCTCCTCGCAGCCCCCCGCCAGCTGTGAAATGCCCCAGCACAGCCGTGTCCGCTCTGGCATCGGCTGCTCCCGAGGAAGCACGTGGGGATGCCGGGTCCCAGTGACACCAAAAGGACCAAGTCTTGGTGATCCTTCAGCCTCGCTGGGAGCTCCTGGTTCTCCCTGGCTGCCTCCTCCAGAGCTCATCTGCTTCCTTTGGGGCGTTCGCTTGGGTTTGGGGGAATATTTTACCTTTTATTCCCCCCACAGCCCCTGGCTTGTGCTCCCGCCATCCTGCTCAGCCCATCCGAAGGGACGTCAGCAGGTTTTGGCATGGATTTCGTGGTGCTGGAGAGAAGCAGCCGCATTCCCTTTGGATTTCCCCTTAATGACTGCATAGTTTGTTTGCAAAAAAACCCCCGTCCTCACCCATCTGGGTGCCCAAAGTGGCTCATCGCTGAGGTTTTGAATAGGCGTGGGTATGGGTGCCTGTCGGGAATGGGGTTTCTCTCCATGCTGTGGTTTTTAGCCCCAGGCAATGAAGTGCTTTGCCCCCAAATCCTCACCCCACTCCCCATCCCACAATGGGAGATGCTCCGCCGTGGCAGATGCAGCCGATGGGGCGATGCCAACCGGGTCCGCCCAGGATCGCCGGCTTTTTTACTGGCTTTATGGGCTGGCAGTTGTGCCATGGCCGGGGCATCTGTAGGGACATCCCGCTCCCCGACAGCATCCCCAGCTGCAGGGGCTCATCCTGACCGACTCCATCCCAGCAAAGCCCCAAGAAGCCACCGAAGCCATTGCCTGGCCAGGGGCTCCTGCCTCCCGTCCTACCCCGGGCTGTCTGCAGGGTGGGTTTTATTCCCCCCCCCCCCCCTTCCTTTCATTTTTCCCCCCTCCTCCTTCAGGGTCTCAGCTGTTAATTACATTTGCCTGTCAGCCCGGGCTGCTAATCTGCTATCGCCGAGCGGAAAGCGGGAGGTCAGAAAACAAAGGTGACACCATCACACTGTGCCTCTTGTCATCTCCAATCCAGATTAGTTTCATTGACTAACTCCTGGCTGAATACCACCAGTTAATTATAACGATCACAAACCCTCCCGTTTAAAGCCACACAGCGAGAATTAAGGTTCTGAAGTAAGACTTTAGCTTCATTAATTGCCGGGCTCATTGTGATGGTATTGATTGTTAACGCTATCGCGTGGTGAGTAATGGCTTCCCAGCTCAGAGGGGATTAGGCTGCTAATTGTTGTTGGCCTTGCGCTGACAAGATAGACTTCAGTGGGTGTCAAATCCGTATCGGCGGCCTCCTTTGTCGCGGGCAGCCTTTCTCTTTCCCCGAGTCTTGCCACTCTTGAAATGAAAGCGATTCGGAGCGACTCGGGAATAATTAATAAGGCAGGGCGGCCGGCAGCGGGCTGCTCCGCTTGGCCTCTCTGCTCCGCCGAGCATCCTTCTGGCTGCCTGGGGATGCTCGTGCTTCCCTGCGGCATTCCTGGCTCCCTCCCGGCGTTAACCTTGGCGCCGGGGTGGGGAGGGTGAGCGCGGTGAGGAGCGCGTGGGGCTTTCGGACGGGGATGGAGATGACGGGTTGCAGCCTCGCAGGGCGAGGAGCTGCTTTGGCGCGCTCAGGGGAGCCAGCTCGTGTGCTTCCAGGGCGAGGAGCCGGCTTGCACGCTCGGGGGAGCCCGGCTTGCACGCTCGAAGGGCGAGGAGACACCTTGTACACACAGGGGAGCTGGCTTGCATGCTTGCAGGGCAAAGAGCTGGCTTGCACGCTCCGGGGAGCCAAATGGCACGCTTGCAGGGCAAGGAGCCGGCGTGCACGCTCAGGGGAGCCGGCTTGCACGCTCAGGGGGGACAAGGCCCCTTCTCGGTGCCAGGCTCAGTGCCAGATTGGGGAGCATCCTCACCTCTCGGCTGGCATCCTGCGGCGACCACGGGCCACCCCTCGGTGGCCAGTAGCTGGTCCCTGCCGGCATGGCGGAAACCTTCCCTTGGCCCAGACTGGTGGGAGCAGGGTTTCAGGGGGTAGGAGCGCCCCCCCGCCCCAAGCTGCCTGGCTGGGTTTTAGGAGCGGGCGATGTGCCGCAGAGCAGATGCTGGGTGCCGCGTGCCCTAGTTAATGTTGAATTTGTATTTCTGCTCCAGCTCTGCTTTTCTACCCACATCGCACTCCCCGCTTTAATTCCATTTTTATTTTTCCCTTGGAAATATCGCCAGCATCCCCAGGGTGGGTATAATTTAAAGTACAGATGTATTATGCAAATAAAGCCAAAGCCTTGCCCAAGGGTTACAGGGAGTGACTCCTTCATCCCAGCGTCTCCGACTGCCCTGGCTTGCGCGCAGCGACTTTTGCAGCCGGATTAAGGAGTCTGCGGGTTCGGCTAGAGAAGGTGCGGCCGCCCGGGGTTGGCATCGCATCGGTGTCACTCGTGCCAAGGCGAGCAGCACGGTCAGGGCTCGCTGCGCCCATGAAAGGCTTTACCAGAGCTGGGGGGGTTGGCAGTCCCTACTAGATGGGAGCAAGAGGGTGCCCGTCCCACCATGTAGGGCAAAGCCTTTTAGCACCGGAGGGAACCTGCCTTGGGACAGGGCTCCCTGGGACCCCCCAGGATGGGAGGACAGGGGTCCAGCCCAGGGGGCTGGAGGGATGCCGACTGCCTTGCGTGCATCCCTGTGCCCCATCCCTGGTCCCTGCAGCGGGGCATCCCACCGGGGATGGCGTGGGATGCTTCAGCTCGTTTGGAGGGCGGTTTCAGCCTTTTTCCCCCACTTATTTTAATTTTTAATTTAATTTCAGGGTCCTCGATAAGCAGCGAGTCGTCCCCGGTCTCCTCGCCGGCCACCAACCACAGCTCCCCCGCCAGCACGCCCAAGCGCGGCCCCATGGGTCCCATCATCGTGCCCCCGGGGGGGCACAGCGTGCCCAGCACGCCGCCCGTCGTCACCATCGCCCCCACGAAGACGGTCAACGGGGTCTGGAGGAGCGAGGGCAGACAGGTATGGACGTGTTTGGGGGGGGGGTCCCCCCCCCCCCCCCCCCCTCAAAGGATGAAGGGTGTGGGATGCCATGCATGGCACTGAACGTGCCAACTTTGGTTCGAGATGCCAGGGGGGCTGCCCCCCATTTTGTCCCTTCTCCTCCCCACCATGTCCCTGGGCTGCCGTCATCCCCGGGCTGCCATCGTCCCCGGGGTTGCCATCCGGAGGGGAGCGCGAGGAAGAAGGAGGGGTGGGGGGAGCAGCTAATTAAGAAGCATCGTTAGTGGTTCTTCTCTCCTCCGCACGCTACAAGCAGATTCCCGGGGGGATTATGCCACTTGGAAAGACTAATTAAACCACAAAGCGGAGAGGCAATGGGAGGGGATGAGAAACGCCGAGGGCGGCGGGGGGAGAAAAATAAATTGAACCGCGATCCCCGGGCGCTCGGAGGGGAGCATGGGGTATCTGGGTGCTCCCCCCCCCCCCGTGTCCCCCCACCGTGTCCCCCCCCATGTCGCCTCCTCCCCAGTGACCCCTGCAGCACGGGGGTTAACCGAGCGTGGGTTATTGTCTGGCAGAGCTGCGCTCGCAGCGTGACGCCCCGAGACGGGGAGGTAATTAGAGCAGAGCTTGGCACGCACAATAAGCCTTAATGCAGGCAGTGGAGGCGGCAGGGCGAAGGCGGGGGGGACGGGACGCCCTTTGTGCCGGCCACGGTGACCTTGGGACCATCCCCGATGGCCAAGGACCTGCGACCTGCCCCAGAGGGTCTGGGGACTGGGACTGGATGGGTGGGGGGATACGGGGGGCTGCCACCGTCCTCCTCCTCTAGCCGCTAAACGGAGAAGATGCAATGAAAAATAATGATTTTTAAACCCAACCTTGCCTTGCCGGAGGTCACCCCCCTAACTGCCAGGGACCCTGCGGGTCACCCTAAGGGGTCCCCCCTTGCCAGGGGGTCCCTTCCCCAGCAGGCGTGGGTGCCAGGAGGGAGCGACCTTCATCCTGGTGCTGGGAATGGGGAGCTGATGGAAGACGGCTGAGGCCCCGCGGCGGGGTGGGGGGGTGCTGATGCTGGCCTGTCCGTGGGGCCGGGGAGGGGGATGCTGGGCTGACCCCTGGTTTATGGCGGCTATCAAAGGGCTGCTGGATTTCCACTGGCCGTGTCTGTATCCTCCCCGGATGATTAATAGCTCTGGAGAACAAAGCGGCCCGTAAATCTCCAGGCAGGTAACGTGTGTCCTGCTGTCAGCGCTGCCCCGGCTTTGGCACCCCCTCTCCCACCAGTGCCCCCCCCGGTGTACCTCCCCTTGGACCCTCAAGCCCCTCCAGCCCACCCTTCAACAGCCTGGATGCGGGAGGATGCTCCGGTGGATGCATCCTCCCCTGGGTACCGGTACCAGCCGGCGACCCCATGGGCATGGTGGAGATCCACCGAGGGTCTTGGGGTGGGGACACAGCAGGGACCCCCCCCCACCTCCATTCCCTCACGGGGTCCCTGCCACCCCCCTAACGCCCAGCTCGGCGTTTTCTCCCTCTTTGCCTTCCAGCAAGAAGCAGGGTCACGAGGAAGCAGCAGCAGCGGCGGCCGCGAGCGCCTGATTTCGGAGCCCCCCCTCGCCCAGGAGAAAGCAGGGGGCCCCGCCGTCCCCTCCCACCTCCTGGGGACACCCTACTCCTTCGGGCTGCCCCACAGCTCCGTGGTCCAGGACTCCCGCTTCCCGCCTCTCAAGTGAGTCCGGCGGCAATGGATGGAGCGGGGTGGGGAGGGGGGGGTCTCTCAGGATGCAGGCGTCCCCTGTGAGCTCTGGTCCCACCGAGCATCCTGGGGTGAGGTGACATCTCCTTAGGGGGGACAGGGCGGGATGGTGACCATCTCCCCGCTTCCCCAGCCTGCAGCGGCCGGTCCACCACGTGGTGCCTCCCAGCGCCGTCACCGAGGATTACCTGCGCAGTTTTCGTCCCTACCACACCGCCGAGGACCTCCGCATGTCCTCCCTGCCGCCCCTCGGACTGGATCCGGCCGCCGCCGCCGCTTACTACCACCCCAGCTACCTGACGCATCACCCCTTCCCGCACCCCGCCTTCAGGTGGGCATCGCCACGCTCGGACCTGGGGGTCCCTGGGGGATGCCGGTAGCTGGAGGACGAGCCTTGGGGGCTGCGGAGGTTGGAGCCTGAGCCGGGGAGGACGGTTGGGCTGCCCTGAGGGCATTTTGGGGGGGGGGGGTGTCTCCGAACCCCTCTCCCAGCAGAAGGCAGCCCCTGTCCAGCCTGGGATCACTCCCGGGAGGTCAGGGAGGGAAATTGGGGGTTTCTTTCCTCCGCTGAGCATCCCCGTCTCCCCAGGATGGACGAGTCGTACTGCCTGTCGGCGCTGCGGTCCCCCTTCTACCCGCTGCCGGCGCCGGGCTCGCTGCCGCCCCTGCACCCCTCGGCCATGCACCTGCATCTTTCGGGGGTACGGTACCCCCCCGAGCTCTCGCACTCCTCCCTCTCCGCCCTGCAGTCCGAGCGCATCTCCAGCCTCGCCGCCGAGAGGTACGGGGGGGACGATGGCCGGGGACGGGGGGGGAAAGACAGGGCACCCCGGCAGGGGATGCTAACAGGCGCCTGGGGGTTGTTTGGGGGGTGGTGGTTTTTTTTTCGGCTTTTCTTTGCAGGCTGCAAATGGACGAGGAGCTGCGGCAGAGGGAGCGAGAGCGCGAGCGCGAGCGGGAGAAGGAGCGGGAGCGAGAAGCCGACCGGGAGCGGGAGAAGGAGCGCGAACGGGAGCGGGAACGCGAGAAGGAGCTGGAGCGCGAGCGGGAGAAGGAGCGGGAACGGGAGCTGGAGAGGCAGCGGGAGCGCGCCCGGGAGAAGGAGCTGAGCATGGTGAAAGCCATGGAGGGGCCCTTCCTCCCCGTGGCCGAGCTGCATGGGCTGCGGGGGCACCCGGCCGAGGAGCGGGGCAAGCCGGTGGAGCCGCTGGCGCCCAGCAGAGCAGGTAACGTCCCCACAGGTGACACTGGGTCCTGGGGGGGGGGCCCGCCGCCTTCGGCGCAGCTTGCCACGCTCCCCTTTTCCCCTCCAGATGGCAAAGCTGAGGGGGTCGGTGGCCCCGGGAGGTGGCTGGAGATGGATGGAGCCGGGCTCTCCCGGCTGCCAGCTCGCTTTTTTGCCAAAAGCCCAGCTGCCGCGGCTCTCGGAGAGGCGGCACGGTGCCTGTGCCATCTGACTTCGGTCCGGGGCGGCAACGCGCCCGGTGCCGCGGCACGCCTGGCAGCTGGGCTGGCACCGAGCGGGCAGACCCCTCGTGCCCTGCGGGCAGGGGAGCGCCGGGCTCTGGCTCCCACAGCTCCGGGTGCCTCCCACCTGCGGGGATGCTCGGTGGGGGGGCCTTGAGCACCCCAAAATACCCCGATGGCCAACAGTTGGCCACAGGTAGCCCCCCCCCCTTTCCATGCCCTAACTCTCCGGCACCCCTTTTCCAACCCAGAGAAGCTCAAGGACTCGGTGCTGCCGACGCCAAAGCCCATCCAGCACCCGCTGCACCAGCCGCCGGCCTCCCACCACCCCGTACCCAGCCTCATCCCCAACCACAACGTGTTCCCGCTGCCGGGGAGCAGCGCGGCCACGGCGCTGCTCATCCACCGCACCAACGAGGAGGAGAAGTGGCTGGCCCGGCAGCGCCGGCTGCGCCAGGAGAAGGAAGATCGGCAATCCCAAGTCTCGGAATTTCGGCAACAAGTGCTGGAGCAGCACCTTGACATGGGGCGCACCCCGAGCCAGCCCGAGCCGGACCATCGGCCGGAGCATCCCAGGTAGGGATGCTGCCAGCCCCGCTCCCTAAAACCTATTTGCATTTTCCCACATCGCGGCCATCCCTGCTGTAATCTCTATAGGATTTTTTCTCCCCCTCCGTCACCCCACAGCTGTGCTGGCCCCGTTAGCTGGTTCTGTCGCCCCCCCAGCCATTAGGTAGCCGTCATCCCATAGCCTTGCCCCTCGCTCCTTGCACATCCCGCCGTGATCGGCCGGCGCCAGCAGGTCCCCGTCACGCAGTGCCAGCCAGGCCGGCTGCGCTGGCAGCGCCGGGCTTCGCCGGTGCCCGACATCTGCGCGGCGGCAGGCGACGAGCCCGGGAGGTGGCCGGGGGCCAGCGGCGAGCGGCCAGGTGCTGCCCAGGCACCCGGCACCGCTAATTGCGGCTCCCCGCCGTGCAAGCGGACCCAGGCGAATGGATGTCCCGTTTTGGGGAAAGGGGGGGCACCTGCCCTGAACCTGGGCGATTTTTGGGGGCGGGGGGGGGGCAGAGGAGCGTGCCTGCATCCCCTGATTGACAGGGGCTTGCTCACCCCCATCACTGAGTGCTTAAGCAGCGCGGGCTCATCCAGCCGGCTCTGCCGCCAGCTCCCTTTGTTATTTTTGGGTATCCAGGGGATTAGCGCGGCTCATCGAGGATAATAAGGAGCGGATCGCGGGGCGGCACAAAGGCGAGTGCCCGCCGCAGCCTCTTTTTCCCCATCCCCTCCTCCCACCCCAAACCGGAGAGGAGACAGCAAGGTCACCCCGAACCACCTGCAACCGGGGGATACTCCATCCTCATTCTCCTCCCCATCCTGGAGCTGCCCGCATCCAGCGTGGAGGGAAAGGCACCGATCCCCGGCAGGGCAGGCGATGCTTTGCCGCCGGTGGTGACACGGTGCCGGGGCGGCGGATGGCGTCGCTGAGCTGAACTCGTTGCTCCGTGCATGGAGGTCCGGGGCGCTGGAGCAGAAAAGCGTTAAATGCACAGCTTGGGCGCATGAAATATTTATCCCGCTAACGGGCTGGCTCCGGCCCCGGCTGTCGGAGGAGGGTTGCACCGGGGTGCTTGCCCTTGCTGCGGGGAGAGCAGGGATGTGCCAGGACCGATGGGCTCTGCTGTCCCCATGGTGGGCAGCAGTGGGGGGGCGCAGGGTTGAGCCTGGGGTCCCCTGCTCGGCACCCCGGGGATGCAGCCACATCCCTGCTCAACCTGCCCGGGAGCAGCCTTAACTCTGCCCCTCCATCCCTCGGGGTGGTGGCACAGGAGGGGACGAGCGTGGCAGCCCCATGTGCATAAACCCCTCCATGTGGCTCTAACCAGCGTGTTTCTCCCCCAAAAGCGGCCCGGTACCGGGGTGCGGCTGGCTCTCCCGGCAGCGGTGCCAGCTCCTCACCTCTCTGGTCCTCTCCTCTCCCCACAGGTCGGGATCGAGCCGCCACGAGCCAAGTGGCCGGGAGCCAGGGCAGCACTTCGGCGGACCCCCGCCGCTCATCTCCCCCAAGCCCCAGCACCACCCCGTCACCACGTCCCTCTGGAACCCCGTCTCGCTGATGGAGAGCCCCCCCGAGCCCCCCCGGCGCCTCCCCGAGCCCCATGCCCTCCACGGCCACCCGGCCCCCTTCGAGCCCAGCCGTCAGGGCATCCCGCTGGTGAAGGTGGAGAGGGTCTTCTGCCCCGAGAAGCTGGAGGAGGGGGCGAGGAAGAGGGATGCTCTGGAGAAATATCCCCCAGCACGGGAGCCCGGCGCCCCGGAGCACGGGGGCTTCACCCACGCTCCCTTCCTAGCTGAGCTGGAAAAATCCACGCAGAGCATCCTAAGCCAGCAAAGACCCCCAGCCGCCCCCTTCGTCGAGGCCACCAAGCCCAGCTCGCCCTACCGGCCCCCCCCTCCCCGCGCCCAGGACCCCATGTACATCTACGACGAGTTTGTGCAGCAGCATCGCAGGCTGGTCAGCAAACTTGACCTGGAGGAGCGCCGGCGGAGGGAAGCCCGCGAAAAAGGTGAGACGCCGGGTTTGCACCGCGCCGAGGAACACCCCCCCCCCCCCCACTGCCCCACCGGCACCGGGATTTGGCGGGGGCGGGGGCGGCTGGTGGGTCTCCTGGGGATGCCAGCAGCCCGCGATGCAAATGCTCCCACAAGCCAAGCGGCTCCGTAAATCCTCCGCTCTAGACATGCCCAATTAATAAATGATGAGCTGAGGCTAATAAGCGGGCTTTAAATATTAATGGGACTGCGCGAGTGGGGATAAGAACAGCGGTGAGGAGGAGACGGAGTGCTTGGTGGGGGGGGGGGCACAAGCGGTGCCATCTCCCCTCCAGCAGGGATGAGGGGGCCTCGGCCACAGCCTCCCCACCGGCCGTGCCCCTTTAACCCGCCTGTTGAGCCCCTGCCACCCATCCCAAAGTGATGCTGAGCCACGCAGGGGTGGGCGATGCCCTCCAGGGTCCCACAGCTGGCAGAGCGGGGGACGGGGCTCTTTTGGGTTACACCCCTTGCCCCCCTGGGACCCACGTTGGACCCCCACCAGCATCCCACCTTGCTGCACCAGCACCCTGCTGCATCCCCGTCCCGAGGAGGGTCCCAGCAGGTTTCCCAGCAGTTCCCTGGGGTCTCCGCCGTCTCCCCAGTCTCACGCCAGCCTCTCCCCATCCCCAGGTTACTATTACGACCTGGACGACTCCTGCGACGACAGTGACGAGGAGGAGGTGCGGGCCCATCTCCGCTGCGTGGCTGAGCAGCCCCCGCTGAAGCTGGACACGTCCTCCGAGGTACAGCTGGCACTCGCTGTCCCCTGTCCCCCCCTTGTCCCCCAGGGGAGCAGCCCCTCCTCGGCCACCAGCTCCCAGTGCCGCGGTGCAGCCACCGTTCCCAGTCGGCTGCAGAGGCACCAGCGGGTCAGGGATGGGGATGGAGATGAGGATGAGGATGGGGACCGGTCTGGGGGTGACCCTGCTCTGCTCTCCCCCTCGGTGCCCCAGAAGCTGGAGTTCCTGCAGCTCTTCGGCCTCACCACGCAGCAACAGAAGGAGGAATTGCTGAGCCAGAAGCGGCGCAAACGCCGGCGGATGCTGCGGGAGAGGAGCCCCTCGCCGCCGACGGTGCAGAACAAGCGCCGCACGCCCTCCCCGCGCCTCCCGCTCTCCACCCGCTACAGCCCCGACGAGATGAACAACAGCCCCAACTTCGAGGAGAAGAAGCGCTTCCTCACCATCTTCAACCTCACGCACATCAGCGCCGAGAAGAGGAAAGGTAAAACAGCCATGGTCCGTGCACGCTCGGGGTCAGCTCTGGCTCAGGGGGTCCCCGCTCCCTGGTTTGGGGGGTGCCGTGGGGCTGGGGGGGACGGTCCCGCCTGGGGCCGTGAGCTTGCTCTGCTGAGCAGAGGCTACACTAAACCTCAGCTTCCCATGCCGCAGACAAGGAGAAGCTGGTAGAGATGCTCCAGGCCATGAAGCAGAAGACCACGCCGGCCGCCGTGGTGGTGAAGAGCTCCCCACGGGACAGTCCCAGTGGCCCTGCCATCGGTAAGCATCCCTGATCCTTCCCCGGCTCTCGGCTCGGGAGCATCCCCTGCCTGGCACGATGCGGGGGGCACGGTTTTGCCTTGGGGGGGGGACACGGAGCCCTGCCGGCAGCCGACTCTGCTCTTCCTCTGCCCAAAGAGCCGCTGGTGCCGCCGCTCCCACTGGATCCGGATAAACCCGTGGGCATCGCTGTCTCCGTGCCGGAGGTGCAGAAGACGGTGGAGCCCAGCAGGTTAGACCAGCTGAGACCCCAGGAGCTACCGAGGGCTAAGGAATCGGCCACCGCGCTGGCAGAGAAGCCCCGGCTGAGCGATGGGCATCCCGGGAAGAAGGCACTCAGCATCCTCAGCTACGTCAGGGGTCCCCTTCCCAAGGACATCCCGGTGCCGCTGTCCCACAGCATGAACGGCAAGAGCAAGCCTTGGGAGCCCTTCATCGCCGAGGAGTTCGCCCATCAGTTCCACGAGTCGGTGCTGCAGTCCACCCAGAAGGCATTGCAGAAGCACAAAGGTAAGGGCAGGGATGTGGGGAGCAGGCTGGGTACCATGGGGGGGCGTAACATCCCTGTGGGGTGGGAGACCCCTTCGTCCCCCCACTGGGGTTCAGCACCACCAAGGGCGCAAAATCTACTGACCACCTCGTTGCTGGAACATCCCAGAAGCTCATCGATGAAGATAAATATAAGGTTTTGGGATAATATGGCTCCATTCCCCCCAAACTCATTAAGCAAGGAAAATGAAGTTACTCCAGTGCGCAGGGGCGATGAAAACCCCCAGAAGATGCTGTAGCCCCCCAAAAAGGGCCTGGGGAGGAGGAAATTAATACCTTGAGGGGAGCATCTTTCTCGATGCAGCCTCAGGGAGGGCAGCAGTGGGGTGGGTGATGTGGGGAGCAGGTGGGGGATATGGGGGGGGCGGGCAGGGGGCTGACGCTCGGTTCCCGCAGGGGGGACGGCGGCGTTGACGGCGGAGCAGAACCACAAGCTCGACACCTCCATCCACTACAACATCCCCGAGCTGCAGGCATCCAGCCGACTGGCTGCCCCACCGCACAACGGCACGGCTGAGGGGCCACTGCCCCACCGGGTGCTGCCCCCGCTGCCCCACGACTCGGCCTCTGAGGAAGAGGAGGAGGAGGAGGAGGAAGAGGAGGAAGAGTACCCCAGGCCCAAGTGGCAAGGGATCGAGGCAATTTTTGAAGCTTACCAGGAACATATAGAAGGTAGAGGATGGGGGGGAGGGGCAGGGAGGGTAAACCCTCACTTTGTGCCTCAGTTTCCCTGAGTGAAACCACCCCATGCCTCAACCAGGCGTCTCCGGCTCCCACTGGGCTGGGATGGGGAGGTGCTTGAGGCTCTCCAGCACTGCAGGAGCAACACAAAAGCAACAGGCGCTGGTGAAAAATGATGTATATGTGAAAAATTCATGTATTCACAGCTGCCCAGCATCCTCCCCCGTGGGACCTGGCGGTTCCCCACGGGCAGTGCAGGGGCCGGGGATGCTCTGGGACACTGGAGGCAATCGCCGCTGGCTGGACAGAGCCTCGTGCGGGGCTGGCATCCTCGGCGACGGCACCGCGGTGTTCGGGCATGGTCCTGTGCCGTGCACGGAGCCGACGCTCACCCTCTCTCTCCTTTGGGATTTGCAGAACAAAACCTGGAGCGCCAAGTGCTGCAGACCCAGTGCCGGCGGCTGGAAGCCCAGCACTACAGCCTGAGCCTGACGGCAGAGCAGCTTTCGCACAGCATGGCGGTGAGTGGGGCCGCGGCACCCGGCTTCTGCGAGGCACCCAAGTCCTCCCGGAGCACACCCATCCACCTAGCAGTGCCCCTTCCCCTGCAATACCCCATTCCCTGCAATTCCCCATCCCCTGCAATACCCCATTCCCATCAGTGCCTCCCACCCAGGCACCCCACATCCCACCCCGTGGAGCATCCAGGCGAGCCCAGCATCCCACGAGGGATCCCATCCCCGCAGCCCTGGCCCGGAGGCTGCCCGTCGCCTGCCCTGACTGTGTCTTCTCACCTTCACTGCTTGCAGGAATTAAGGACCCAGAAGCAGAAGATGGTCTCGGAGCGCGAGCGCCTGCAAGCCGAGCTGGATCACCTGCGGAAGTGCCTTGCCTTGCCTGCAATGCAGTGGTCTAGGGGTTATTTCAAGGGGTATCCCAGGTGACGCTCCTTGGGCTAGGCCGAACATATAGTCTAGAAATAATAATCTATTTTATTACCTTGAATATTTAATATTTTTCACTGGGAGGTTTGAAGCTAAAAAAAATAAAATTTAAAAAAAACAAAAAACAAAAAAACAAAACGAAACAAACAAACAAAAAAAAAATCACGGAGAATGTGCCATGCATGAAGCAAAGGAGCACGGGAGCCGGGAGCCCACCCGACGGCGAGCAGACCCCATCCCGTCCCCTCCCGCGCCGCTGGCCCTCTGCAAGCAACCGCCAGCCCGGCTCGGGCTCTCCTCCCTGGGGACAGGGTGCTGCGCCCCCCCCCCCCTCCACCCACCCACACTTTATAGCTCTCATTTTTGGGGTTTTTTTTTGGTTTTTGTTTTTTTTTTTAATTAAATTACAATTAAAGACTCCACCGACAACACTAAGGCCGGAGGAGCCCTGTGGGGCCAGGTGCGGGACGGCTGGCCAGCAGCCGCCGATCCCCCCCACTCCCCGGCACAGCACCGGGAGCCTCCCCCCCCACCCCGGGGCTTTCCACTGGAAATGCACTTCGCTATAAAACAATAAAGTCAATAAACTGGTTGAAGGTACCTTTTTGTTCCTGTTTGGCGGGGAAGGGGCATGAAACACGCGCCGGCAGTGGGCCCCGGCGGGGTTACCTTGTCAGAGCTAGTCACCCTGGTTTTGCAATTCAAAAGTCAAAAAAAGGTGCTTCAGCCTTGTACTGTGTATATATATTAAAAAAAAAAAAAGTTTTGTATGTTTTTATTACTTTAATTATTGTTATAAAAAGCTTGCCTTTTTTTTTAATATGTTTCTGCTTTTTTTTTCTTTTTTTTTTCCTTCCCCCCCTCCCTCCCCTTTTTATTTTCTTTCTTTTTTGGCAAAAGGATTAACTCGCTTTTAGTGTTTGTACTGCTGCTGGTCAGGACAGAAAAGATACTGAAGTGTTTTAAAAGAATTTAAAAACAGGAAAAAATAAATCCCCTTTTCCAGCGGGGCAGGTGCTGTCCCACTGCCGATCCCTCGGGAACCCGGAGCTGAGCCCTTCCACTTCTCTCAACCTCCTGTGGCTTGGGGTTGGTTTTTTTTACCCTTTTTCTTTGGTTTCTGGGTCTTTTTCTGGTCCCTCTGGGCAGTTGTTGTAGGTGTCGCTGGGTGGTTTCTCAGCCTTGCGCGGGCTCCGTCTGCCAAATTAAAAATACAGAGCAGTTGCGCCGAGAGGGCTGGAGGGTTTGGGGGACGGGTGGCATTGGGGTGTCCTTATTCCCCCCCAAAATACCGAGACAATCAGAGCGGCGCTAAGGCAGTTTGGGCAGAGGGAGCCAGGGTTTGCCCGTGGGGTCCGCGGCTTGGCATGGGGTTGGTGGCACCACGGGGACAAGCCGGGTCGAGTTCTCCCTGCCCGTGCCTTGTGCCCGCCGGCGGGCAGGAGCTGCCTGTGGCTCGCTGCCGGCAGCGCCGGGTTGGGGTGGCAGGTTCAGGCTTGGCACCACACGGTGCTGTTTTTAGCCACTTTCCAATCATCGCGTGCCCCAACTCCCTGGGGAGGCTTTTTTTTTTTTAAATTTTTAAATTATTTATTAATTTTTTAAATTCACCACGAGACAAGCTCATGTCTACGAGAAAAGGTGACCTCTGCTTTCTGCTTTAAATTCCCTTGTTGCACTCGCAAAGAAAGCATTAACCCCCCCCTACTCCTCCCCCCCCACACACTCCCCGGTCTCCCATTGGCTTCACCAAAAAAAAGCTGTGCAAGATTAAAAAGCAAAATGCCCTTGTGACAGAAATTAGTTTAATCTTTTTTAAATCCCCAATTGCATCGCCAGCCTCTGGCCTAGCCGCTGCCAACTCCAGGCTTCACAATGAATTTTAACACGGCAAAATACGCTTGCTGCTCGACTCGCTTTTTCCCTTCCCATGTGCTGGGGCGGGGTGGGGGGGGAGAAGAAGCCAGGGATGGAAAATCATCAGCAATTTATCCCTTGCCGCCACCATGCCGCGATGAGGCTGTGGGCAGGAGCCTGACTGGGATGTAGCCTCGCTTCGTAGCAGCTCCTATACTGAGACTTTCCCCCCTCACCAGCCCACAATCACGTTTTTTGGACCAATTTTGCAGAATTATTCCCCCCGGGGCCATGGCGAGCGGTCATGTCTGTTTGTACGTACCCCATGCAGAATCACTCGAGCAGCTGCGCCAGAGCCTGGGAGGGCTGCAAGGAGGGAAAGGCAAGGCAGAGCCTGCTGGGGGCAGTTCAGATGCTGTGAAAGAAAACAAAACAAAAAAACCCCCAAAAGGAGATAAAAAAAACCAACAAACCAACAAACCTAAACATGTTCTAAGTGTACTTGTTTGAATTAATTGTAATGTAATATATTATTTGTTGAATGTAGTAATTAGGTATTTATGAATATATGGCTGTAATTTCTGAAAACATCCAAAAAAAAATAAACTCTTCCACAATGACGGCAAAGAATTCTTTCTCCCCCACCGGCGATGGGAAAGCAGCCCTGCTCCGAGCATCCCCCAGCCTCGCCGAGGGCAGCTCCTGCCATCGTCACCTTGTCAGAGCCCTTTGCTCGCAGCCGACCGCAGCTGCCTGCGGGCAGCGCTGGGGGAAGCGGCCGAGGCAGGCAGGGCACAGATGGCAGGCAGGAGCAGCGCAGAGGCTGGCCCAGATGCTCGGGGAAGGGCACCGCTCGCGGCTTGCCACCGTTGGGTTCAAGCCGGCATTTCCCCCTCGCCCATAATAATTACATCTGCCATCAATGCAGCCCCACGCCAGCGAGGATCCTGCCCTTGCCTGTCGGTCTGCCGCAGGGAAACGGGGCCGGAGCCAAAGGAGGAAAGCTGCGGGTTTTTCCGAGCATTGTTTAACCCATGTATGCTTGACGCACAGCGTGCGATGGAACACGGGGACTAATTTGATGCCGTTCACTCAGCTGCAATTATTTTTTTTTATTATTATTTTTTTATACACACATTTTCAGATTAAAAAAAAAAACAAAACAAGACGTATGATATTACAAGACAGCCCAGCTTTGGAGAGGGAAAACCGTTTTCTTTTGTCCTTCTCCAAAGAGCAGATGGATCTGCTTCCCAGCTGATCTCCCCAGCAGAGTAGCAGACACCTCTCATTGCCGGCACATCTTCCCCCTTTTCAAGGCATTGAGAAAATTCATGGCGAAGCACCGCCTAGAAATTTATTGCTTTCAAGCCAGTGTGTGGCCTGTGCTGCCCTCAGAAGTTCCCTCTATGAAGTACACCCACACTCTCCAGGGCGGAGAGATCCGCCTGACATCATTAGACAGCAGCCTAGCGCTGGCAAGCCACCACCTGCACCAAGCAGATCTCTGAACCCAAGCGAGAGGCCCACCTCTGCACAGAGGGAACGCGTAGGAGCTACCGTGTGGGGATGCTCCCGTGCCGCCGGCAGCTCCGGAGCAATTCCCATCCGGCTGTGAGGCTGCCTGCTCTCTCTCCCCTGCCTGCGTGGAAGGGGAACCCCTGCCTGCGCGCAGCTGCTGCCGAGGAGGGGTTGAACGCAGCTGAGGGGAGAACTGTGCAGGGAGGTGGAGGCTGGCCAGATGAAGGTCCAAGGGTGAGGAGCGGAGCCTGCTCTCTCTTCCAGTGCCCTCTCCTGGGAGGTTTGAAGGTTGGCCTGGCTAGTACCTCAGAAATCCTGAGAGTGGGCACTCTCGCCAGGCTGAAGGTTAGTCCGGAGCTTGTACATGTGATCTAAGGCTTGAGTAAGGAAAGTCCCGATCGTGTTGATCTCCATCAAGGTTAAGTTATCCAGCTAAAAGACAAAATAACAGAATCTGGGGAAACAGCTCTGTCACAGCGGAGGATGAGGAACTCAGAAAGCAGCTCTGCAGCCCACGCTTTTCCTTCAGTGACACCCCAAGGGACTGGCCCAGCTGCCACCCCCGGTCAAGAGAAGCACAGGAGCAACGAGAGCACTATTTCCATAAGGCACGGGGAGCTGCAACCAGCCCATAAAGCGAGGTTTCAGCATATGGCTTTAGTTCCCAACTGACGTACCCACAACCCAGGAAAAACATGCCCCAACCAGCATTTTCACGAGCAGCTCTCATCAGTCACAAGCCCACACAATCGCACGGCATCTGGAATCCTCCCAGCACAGAGCTGGCAAACCTCTCCCTGCGCGTCCCCGACGCACCTTGGCGTGAGCCTCCTGCTGCCTGACAAAGCTGTCCGCAGACAGCCGCAGCTTGGCTATCCGGGTGTCCCAGGTATCCTTCACCAGTGTTCGAATCTCATCGGCTTTGGGGATGTTGTCTGAGGCGCTAGAGGAGGAGAGAGAGGATCAGAACAGGCTGCGAGGGACTCGTACGTTATGTCACCGGCGTATAAGTAATGTTGGCAGTTCTTCAGCCCTCTGAGGCATAAGCAGAGCAGTTTGCTATAGAGGAAAAAACGTGCAACTCAACATTAAAATCCAGCCTGGTACTTCTGCTGCTGGGATTTCTGGGATAGTTTATTTACCCAGGAATGCTCAGCTCTGATGCAGCATCTGGTTCTCACTAGAATCCTTCTGCTCTTTAATTGCCCAGCTGGTACAAGGTACACAGAGGGCCAATAACCCGGCCAAAGTCACAGGCAGCCAGGGAATTGAAAGGACTCGGCTGCGATTAGAGCCCCAGCTCTGTGCTCTTGTGGCTCTATCAGGGAGTATTAAGTTGAAAGGACTGTACGATTTGTGCCACATCCTCCCATTAAGCCAATTCAGCGCTGCCATAAGGACCTCAAGAGATCAGATCAATTCACATGGACAGAGCTGTCAGGGTTATTCTAGCGTGAGGGAAGGAGCCGCACGCCAAGAGCGTCATCTCCAGAGGAAAAGCCAGTGCTTAAATGACCACCCCACCGTAATCGAGGGCTTAAAGTCAGAAGAGCCTGCGCTGAGAAAAATACCAGCCAGCACATTTTACAAGTGAAATGCCTCAGCAGGCAGGAGTTCAGACTCAGAATATCCCTGGTCTCCTGCTTCTCAGGCTGAGGAAAGAGGAGTTTTCCTCCTGAAGGAGAGCCAAGGAAGAAGCCTGGAGGGTTTAGGCTGCTGAACAGATTGCAGCCATGGAACGTGTTGCCGATCCTCAAGGCCTCTACGCTTAGCTGCCGCTCAATAAAGCGGCACAGCCCCAATTATCAGGCCACAGAACAAGCAATCCCCAAGTTACTGAAATGCGAAGTTACCATGAGAAAACTGCTGCAACGAGATCTTGGCACGCTGTGAAATAAACCTCCATTAACTCTCACTTTCCCACCGCCCTCTGGGGTTGCTGCCAACGAAAGCTTGAAAAATTGTCTATGCAAGCATGTACTCGGGCGGAAACTGTTACAATACATTTCCTACTTACTAGTTTAACAGCAGCTTTGTGAGTTCCATATAATAGGGACTGGGCATCGGAGTGAAGGTGTCCTCTTTACGTTCCTGGTCCCGGATTTCCTCCAGTTTTTCTAAAATACAACCAGGAATGGTCAGTCATTGCCTGACCTTCAATGTTCCAGGCACATTTTTACCCCCAGGAAAACCCATGTGCTATTTCTGTAGGACCAACTCTATGTCCAACCATGAATCAACATGTGGGCAGAAAAAGGCTTCTGTAATGAAGCACACAAGGATGCTGACAGGGACATCGAAGCCGCGCTTAGCGCACCATGCCAGGAGGCTGGAACTACACCAGCTTCATCCCCAAAACTGATCGCCTGTCGTGATCCCACAAAGCACTTGTGCTAATTAGCATTTGTGCCCTTGAATGAATAAAGCAGAAATGCTTGGTGCAGGTCTCCCTCTTACTGCAGCTCCATTAGCGTTTATTTCTTCTCCTTCTCAGTTTCCCTTGAGATGACAAAAGGGAGGGTGCCACAATTCTCACTTTTTAGAGAGTGAGACGACCTCCCATTTCCGATGCCCTCGAGGAAAATGATTTCATGGAGTGAATGAACCATGAACCGGTGATTAACATACATATATGCTCTCCAAGGTCTCCCGCCTCACAGAGTGTCATCTGAGCTCCTGAAAGCTCTTTCTGAACAAGGCTTGTGAGAGATGCAAGTGCTGCTCAGAAAGACCAGCGATCACTGCTGATGGTGTCAGAGCTGGGGATTCAATCTAACCCTTCCTCCTCACCAGAAGAACAGAAGTTCAATACCTGGCTTAACTGGGAAGATTACATCTCCCGTAAATATAAAGAATTCCAGTGGTGGAACATTTGATCCTTCTCTCAGAGGTACTCTGTGTTTGTTGAATTAAGCTTCCCATTAATGGTGAAAACTGAGAATTTTTTTAATTTCATGCTTCCGCTGCACCCACTGAAGCCCAGGGCCAAAGCTGCCATCCTTACCAACATCCATCCATTCTGGAGGAATCAGCCGACACTTCTGCCTCTGCTTCAGATTAATGGCCAACCAGACAGGCACCTCCACTGGCAAGCCAGGATTGAAAGGACCCAGATCTCCCTGGAAGACGAATTGAAGGCAAGAGTAAGGCAGCAGTGAGGGCTTGGACACCGCAGAACTCGTCTGCTAATTTGGCCTCAGCCATCTCTAGAGTGCATGAGTTTTTTTCCAGGGGATTTTGAAAAGCCTGAGTCAAATAGCATCTGAATTTCCTCCTCTCACTGCCCATAATTCTTTCTCTCAGACTTTTCCTCCTCTCCCTTGAGAAGTAATAACTAACGTTTCCAGTGCATTTTCTATTTCAAAGCATTTCACAGAAGTTATAGCCAGAAATTACATCTCTCCTGGAAACGCAGCCCCCCCGGGCTCAAGCCAAGGTGCTTTCAGAGGCAGGCAGCAGCGGAGCACAGCTCACACCACCACCGCAGCAGATCCTGACACCCGCTGCCAGACCTGGGGGCTCGGCACCCAGGGCAGCCCGTCACCCCCCCCCCCAGCCCTCAGCCAAGGCTCAAGTGCTGGGGGCTGCACCACTCACTGCAAAAGCACCAGAGATGGAGGGGGGACGGGGGACACAGACACACAGGACAGCACTGCCCCCTCCCAAACCACCTGGGGGGGCTGCCCTGCCTCCTCTCC